CACAGAGATCAGTTTTGGCAATGCAATACCTTTTGAAAGGGCCATGACCAGGATAAAACGTGAATGGAAATGTGCCGATCAGGTTGCATGTTATTGTTATTCCTTTCTTGCTGCCAGAGGATTAATGCCTTTTACTGGACATTGGATTGGACAGATTAATAAAGAAATTATGGGTAATCATGTGGTATGTGATTTACCGCTTTTAGTTAGTTCTTTCATAGATGGTGCCAATAAAACACTATTTTTAAATTCAAATGTATGATGAAATGGTGTGAAAAAGTAATGATTAAAACAATAACCAATTTTTGTTTTGCTTTCTAAATGAATAAATAAATAATTAAAGGTTTTAGGTGATGTAGACGACTTAATGGGTTTTCTTTCGATCTTTTCCACAAGTGCAAAACTTAATATATTCTTTGACCTAATTTTCTTTGTTCTATATTGGTCAAAATTTTCTATTCCAAAAATTCATCCATTTGATGAGCTGTGAATGTAAATTGTTCTGCATTGAATATGAGGTGAACCATGTTTGAGAAATATAGAATGGATGAAACCAGATTGGTTCTTTGAATTCTTTTTATTCTGCATTAGTGACATTTTTCAGTACTCTTCTGTTATGGGGACCGGATTCAGAAATGTACGTATTTGTGCATGTATATATAAACAAATAATGTACGCTTATACATACATACAGTGGAACCTCGAATTACGAGTTTAATTTGTTCCAGCACTGAGCTTGTATAGCGAAAACAAACTTCCCCATTGAAAATATTGCAAATCCAGCTAATCTGTTCTGCACTCCCAATTGCCATCTCATCTTCAGTTATGTGGTGTTTTTTGGAGAAGGTCAAAGTACAGATTCTTAACCTTAGCGCATATTATAGCTTCCAATACCAAATCGTCTTTTACCTGCTTCTCGTTAATTCACACCAACAGTGTCTCGTCATCTTCCAGGAGTTTTGGACGGTGGTTGGTTGTAACGGTAACTCATGTCAGATTTCTTAATTTCTTCCTTCTTCATAATAGTGAAGATTATCGATGTCGAATGGCCGTAAGTTTTTCCCAATTCCATCACGCTTATGTTTATCTATGATTTCTTTCTTAATTTCAATGGCGATGGTTTCCTTCTTTTTCTTTGCATCTGAGGCAACAATCTTTGTGGGAGGCATCATGAAATAATTATTTTCACGTTAAATGTAAAAAAATTAACTCGGCGCACAAACATATAGATCAAAGAACACTGAGAGATCTTATGAGGGTATTCCCCCGAGTCGACCCGAATTGAGAAACGCACCTCTCATAACAACAGCCTGGTTTGTTACTGAGTCAGTGTTCATATTTAGAGACAAATTTTTCAATCATACTTTCCTCGTATCGTGAATTTCTTGTATATAGAGGTGCTTGTATCTCAAGGTTCCATTGTACATGCATACATGAATACGTATATCCATCCATACATACATTTACTCAATGTGGTACCGATAACAGAAGAGACCAATTTTTATTTATCAAAATTCATACATATGTTATAAATGGCAGCCAAATCAATATCTGCTGGAAATGCACTGTCGAGATCTGCACTTGGTACATATAAAAACAAAAGATCAATAATTTATGCTCATAGAAAAAATTTGGAAAGTATCAGAGATTCCAAATATAAAGATGTTAAATATTCATGACTGAGTGGTTCACTATTGAGAGAAGCTGTAATATGCAAATATTTGGACAGTGCTTCATAGAAAGGCTAGTGACATTGTGCAATGCTTTGGACCAGCTGCCTTTTCTGTGCTCAAATGTCTAGGTGGATAGGCTCAGGGAGCAAATATGTTTTTTTCCCAAGAAAAATTGTCAGGGAATCATTTAAAGATTACCAAGAAATGGGGGGAAGAGCTTGGGATAATGTATTTCACTAGTTCAGACATAAAGTCATTTTTAACATGGGATGCAACTGAGCTGTTTTAGAAGGTGATGTCAAACCAAACCTTAAAATTTGAAGATTGCATTTCATAGAATGCATTGGAATAAAATGAAGTATTAATCATGTTTCTTGCATGTTTCAGTATGAACAGCAATGAATACTGTAAGCATTTAGTAATTGGGAAATTGGAAAGGCCAATTTTTTTCTGTTTCCTAGAAAATTAAATGTAAGACATGCATGACATCAGAACTGTTTGAAGGAGAGCTATAAAAGTAAGAAGAAGAACTTGAGATTTTTCCAAGAAATGAAACTGGCTAACCTCTTTCTTCAAGAAAGAGAGATTCTTACTAGGGGCCTTACAAAAGACCGTGTTCTCATTTTCTGAAATGCATTTAGGAGGGAAAGGTTTTAATTATCTTCATTTACACTTTTTAAAATTATACCAACAATGCATCTTGCTGTTCTTCTTGCCTCGAGAAGTCCTATGTCAAAATATTCCATCAACTTAGACATTCAAATTAGGAATTGAAACAGTGGGTGAGAGCTGAGGAATACGCTTATAGTATTATTACATTTTAAGTTAAATACTTATTCCTTATACAATTATGAAAAGGACTGACATTGTGAACTTGACATTCACATAATGTGAACTCGTATTCGTTATATATTATTACCATAAAAATTTATTTTTTGTTGCTTAGCATTTAAAAGTCATTTACGTAAGTAAATGGAAAGAACCCCAGGCATATACATAAAAGTTTTAAATCATGTAAAGTGTATTATCTCTTCTGATATGTTTTTGTAAAATATTATGAATGTGTAGAAGATTTTCTAAAATTCTGAGTAAATATAAAATGTATAATGCAAGTGAAAAGCTCCTAAGGCAAAATAGAAAATTAGAAAGTAGTTGATACCACATTTGTAAGTTTTTAAATAGAATATTTAGGTCTTCTGAAATGATTTATTGGATTTCTGACTAAAGGGATCTATCTGGCTAGTGGTAAATATTATGTGGAAAAATTCTCAAGCAACTCTGAAAATTTAATGATTGCTTTTTTACTGATAAATCTGGCCTTTAAATAATTTTACGTTATTGTCTTTTAAGTCTAGGAATAATCAATGAGAAATTTTTTGTGGTCATAATGTATAGAAATGAAATAAAAAGTTTCCGTTTGTTTACGAAACTTACATTTTTATCTTAGGTTATTTGTCTTTAAAAGTTTTATTAATTTAAAAATACCAAACTTGATATCAGCTTAAAATTCATGCATGCAAGCAGTTGTAAAGGAAATTTTCTACATATTTATGAAAATATTTTAATGTTAAGGCATTCTTAAAATAATGACTTTGTAAGGCTAGTTATCACATGCTCTTGCAGAGTAATGGTAAACGCATCAAACCCATTATCGGGAAGTCTCGTTAAATTCTGGGTGAAGGCAGAGTCAGCTTCTGCAGAAGAATTGCAGAATTTGTTTGTTTTTGCGATTTCTCGCTTCAAATTTCCTTTTAGTATTAACCACAGGTTTAACATACATAGAGTATAATTCTTTTGAATCTATTAATTTTTCAGAAATTAAAAAGTGAAAAAGGATTGCACTTTTTAAAGCCATTCAAAATAGATTTCTGCCTACACATTTTTAATATAAGAGAAATTTCAAAATTCCATCCTATAAATACTGTAGTTTATAATCTTTTTTTCTTTAGTCATTAATTTATTGCAATTTAATTTTTTTTCTTTTTATTTCTTATCTTAGGCAAGTATCTTATTCAGCCAACCTTAACATGGCTCTGATTAGACGAACATACATGAAACATCTCAATAAATAAGCATGTAAAAATACTTTTTCAAAAATAGCATTTTAAGAAAAGCTTCAAAAAACTTCACTCTTTCTGAAAATATAGGTTCTTACTTGGGCTATATCTCATGTGAAAAGCTACTAAAGCCATTAAAATCTTGCATGAACATTATCATTCAATATTTTTAAGAACATCTTGTTGTCTCTTCCCATTTCAGGAAAACATGCATTGTTTATGATGTGGAAGGTGAATGTCTATGCATTTTGATTCCAAGTCAGACATTCTGGCTATGTTAGTACAGTTGACACTTGTTAAAATAATCATTCCATCACATTGACATTTGTAAAATCATTTTCTCCATACTGATCATTTGTTAAAAATCTGTCATCTTTGTGTATGATGTAAGATGTTAAAAATACATTTATAATAACTATTAATTATCTTGTTAATCATACTGAATAACAATTTATTATCATCCTTAATAATCCTTACTCTATGCTAGTTTACTCGTTTATTTACAAAATTATTATTATTATTATTATTGTAAAACTACAAAATCACTTCCTAAAACTGGGAGTTCTAGCAAAAACTTCTAAGAGTTTTTCCTGGAGTTCTCCTTAGAAATTCTTTCATTCTAGTGAACTTACAGGAGATCGTGACTTCCCATGCATTAATTTTTTTATCCATTTTTGCAGCATGCTCATCTCAAGAAATTTAGAACTTTTTCTCACAGTAAGCCTAAACACCAGTTTGTTATCCATTATTTGTAAAGATTCTCGTCAATAATGATTTAAAAGCACTCATCTGGCAGAGAATCAATACGAATATCAGCTGCTTTTTTGATTTTGTATGCGAATTTACTTTCATTTGAAGTTTTGGTATGTATAATACAATGGTATCATCTTTTCTGTATTTCCAAGGATCTTTTTTTTCATCATATACATATTTTATGGAAGCCATTTTTTAAACTAAACAAAAAACGAATGTGTCCTGACTTGTGAACTACACGCAGGTGTTTAAACATGCACATATAGTTAGTTCACAAGACAGGACACTTTAGGATATCCCTCCCAAGGCTTTGAACTCCTGTGGCATACCTCACATACCCCTGTTTTGCACTACTGATCAGGGCAAAGAGTCTTTAGGTTTTTAAAATATTTAATGGTTCATACTTGTATTTAGGTAAAAGTCAAAAACTTTAATTTATATGTAGCTCCAAATTTTTTTTTTGGGGGGGGGATATCAGGAAGTAAGTTCTGATCCTTAATGTATAATAATTTTACAGGCTTTCCAATATTTTGAACAGCTGAAGGAATCAATAAATGGCTGGAAGTTAAGCATTAACTTCTTAACCAGCATGAAAGATCAGTAAGTTTCTTTTATAAATATTTATTATGATTCACTGTATACTGAATATTTTTGAATAAGTACAGAAAGTAAAAATCATTTAATGTATTGCATTTGACAGTTTCTGTTTTAATTTGGGTGCCAACTAAGTGTTGTAAGTTCACATGAATATGAAATAAAATTTTAAATGGTCTTCCGAAAATCTGTCTTCAATAACTGAAACTGTCTATGATCAGTTTCAGTTATTGAAAAGTGTAGTGTAGGTCATCTATTAAAGTTGAGTGAATCTAAATTAAATGGGGGGACAGAGTAGAAATAACTGATATATAGAATAGTGTGTAGTATTTGTGGCTAATATATTTCAAGACTTTACAGTAGATGTGTAAAACTGCAGATAATAATGAATACTTTATATAACGGAAATTTTTTTTAACAAACATGTAAATAAAATAATTAAAGTTTAATAAATATGTATTGCAAAATATTATCAGGATTAAAGTAATATAGCTTTACATCATACTGCATTTACTACTATAAAATACACTCATGTCCATAAATTAAGGATAATGCAAAATCAGGCAAAGGAAGAGTTAGAAGCAAAACAAATCTGACTTATTTATAAAGCTTATTTATTAATCAAAAGGTAAAGAGCAAAAAAAGATGCTATATGTTTGATATTATTAAAAAAATTAGCAATTTTTTTTCTCCCTGGAGCAAATCACAAAAAAAAAAAAAAAAAAAAAAAAAACTATTTACAAAAAATAATAATAATAATAATAATATTATATGGTTGGTATAATTGTTAATACACTGTATGTCTCCCAGACGATGCAATACAGTCCGTACAACGCCTAGGCATGCTGAGCTTCAAATTATCGATCTGATCTTGGGGGATATTACACCACTCAAAAAGCAATGCTCTCCGAAGTTCCGGTAGACATGTAGGAGGAGGTTGACGTGCTGCAACTCGTCGGCCAAGCATGTCCCACACCTGCTCTACTGGATTCAAGTCCGGTGAGAATGCTGGCCAGTCCATACGGGTGTTATCCTCCGATTGATGACATTCGCTTACGATGTTTGCACGGCGAGGACGGGCATTGTCATTCATAAACACAAATTGTGCACCCATGGCGACCCGAAACAAACGTACATGTTGTTCCAGAATGACGTCCCGATAGATTTGGCTTGTCATGATTCCAATTTGAACATGCAGGTCAGTTCTGGAACCCAGAATAATTCGATCCGAAACGAGCACTCCTGCACCACCGTAACGGTGTCGTTCAATGATGTTTTCTTGGTGGTAACAGGTACCTGGAGCTCTCCATATGAAAGTTTGGCGAGAATCAGACTGCAAGCTAAACCTGGACTCGTCGGAAAACGTCACACAAGCCCACTGTTGTGGTGTCCACAATCCATGCTCTCTACTCCAGACTAACCACAGGTGACAGTGAGTTCAGTAAGTGAAACACATCTGACAGGTCTACGAGCATATAGACCAATCTGCCCTAAGCGTCTGTATGCAATCTGCCTTGAAATTGTCGTACCAGCGGCTGAAGAGAACTGACGAGACAGGTCTGAGGCTGTGCTCTGTTTGTTTCTTTTGGCTATAACTGCCAAATACCGGTCCTCATTCGGCGTTGTAACTCTGGGGACATTACCATCATCTTGGAATCATTGCCAAAGACTAGAGATGACACTCTGGGCAATTCCAAGTTCGTCCGATACTTCCAGTTGGGTACGCCCACATTCCAGACGGCCGATAATTCTACCACGTAAAAAATCATCCAAATGCATCCTTTGTGTCATAACTATTCGGTTATTGCACTGAAATGCTTATAAATAGCCTGCGAACAATTTTACTTCTTTGCCTGTATTTCTTATACAGTCAAAAGTCAGACATCCATAATCCGGAATAATCTATAATCTGAACCTCAAAGCTAAAAACTTTCTGCGCATGCGCCGCGTTGGCACATGCGCATAGGCGTTTACGCGTGCGCGTAAGACCTTTACTTCTGCGCATATGCGTGTGCGTAAGTGCAGAATACGTTTTTGCATGCGTGTTTAATGTATAACGGACGGTATAAACTAAAATTATCTAATTATCTATTTCAGTTAATGTTGATGATTGAATTGTTCCTTAATCTTCGAATTGGATGTGGCTTATTATTTTTTGCAGACTGTAAGAGCAATTTTATAAAAGTAAATTTGAACTTTCGATTATGTCAATATGTTCTGATGCTGGAGCTCCCAAAGTATCTACAAAACGAAAGTATGTTTCGATGTCCATCAAACAAAAAGTGGAATTGCTTCAAAAAATGGATAACGACATGAAGAAGATGAAAGAGATGTTAGTGAAAACGAAAAAATTTTGATTGACAAGTTAGTCGGTATTCTCGGCACAGCAATTACAGGACTTGAACAACGGAACTTTGTAACTGAACAAGAAATTATGTCTGTTTATAAAATTAAAGAGAAAGTATTATCACATAAAACGAAACAACTTACATTGAAAGAAATGTTTAATAAAGTAAACAAATAAATATTAAGCTTTTTTTTTTTTTTTTGTAAATTTTGATACCCTTTAGATCATAATTGCTCTTTATTTCATAAATTACGGTTTCATATTTTTAATTTTAGAATTTCTGCATGCCATCTTACGAGATTTAAACTAATGATCTATAATCCGGAAAAATCGATAATCCGGAATCGCTGAAGTCCCGACGAGTCCGGATTAACGACTTTTGACTGTATATCACTCTCTTACACTCTCGTCATTGTGACGTACCATCGGTGTCATCTGGTTACTTCCTGAAATTTGCATATGATTCTTGAAGATGTGTGTAGGGATTTTACAGGTGATATATTTATTTTAGAGCTCGATTTCCGCGTGACTCTGAATTATCCTTAATTTATGGACATGTGTGTAGTATAAAATATGCTGTATAATACAGTAGACTTTATCTCTCCCTTATTTGAATAAAAGTAAGATATTGCAGTATTTCAGTTGAATCTGCAAAAGATGAATAAAAGATAAATAAATACAGTATCTTTCCTGTACAGTACAGTGAATTGTTTCATGGGATCATAGAAGTAAAAATAATTCTTTTTGCTACAAAGCAATGAATAAAGAATTAGCTCATAGATAGCAGGAAAAATTGTAAAAGCAAAGTGGAGGAAAATTTAATCTTTAATAGCAACTAATATGACACTTGTCACAGAACATAAGCATTTCTTGCAATTATTTTAAATATAAGCACTACAAAATAATATTGATGTTTCTGCAGCATAAGAAGTGAAGATTGACTTATACGTTATGCTGTGTGAGGTTTTTATTTAAGAAGTAAATTTTCTGTGATAAAATTATCTTGCGAAGCTTTGTACTTTTGTGCGTGGTTAATAATATACTTCGTTTTTCAGTGTTTTTGATGAAAGCATTTCATTAAATATTACAGCATGTAATTAAATTCTCACCACTTTAGTTTTGATATTGATTAAATTTAGAATTTACAAAATATATATTTTTTAATTTTAAAAGCTTTGAGCATCTATGGCTATACAGTATTTGAACAGTAATTATTATTAATTGTATTTAAATAATTTAATATTAAGTTAGTGAAGGAAGAAAATAACGCAACAATATTTACAGAACCAACTAAGTGCTTGCCAAACATAGCATAACATGAAAAAGCAACTCCTTTCTACACAACATTGTATGCAAGGCGCTGCCAGATAAAACATATTATGAATTTTACTGCCGTCTGGTGGTGCGATATAGCAAAATCTGCGCTATCCTCAACGTGTTAATATAGTAGTTGTATTTCACGCTGAGTGAAATTTTGTCATCAAATTTTAACTAATTTCCTAATAAGCTATCGAATTCAAATTTTGTACTCGCACTATTTGTCGATGACAATGCAATGTAGTGAAGCAGTTTTTTTCAAAGCTTAGTTTAATTTTTTAAAATTTAATGTTTAAATGACTTCTAGTACATATCTTTATTTAACAAACTAAGCATATCAGCATGACAACATCATCAAATAGAGCATAAAAAATCTTTTCCTTGGAATTTTATGAAAATTGCAATTTAATTTCTGAATTTTTGCTTTTTGAAAGCCACTCAATTTCTTAGACTATTTGATGTTAATGGTTTTAAAATTAAAACATCTAAAATTATATCAGATAGAGTTTTGAAATTTTCAGATTATAAAACAAATTTTTCGCCTTCTTTTAAAACAAGAATGATGTAAAAAATTAATTGAATAATTTTATTCATTTATTAATTTTTTTAATATATTGTCTGAACAGAAGAAAAAAATGAAAAAGTTTTTTTTCATTTGCGGTTTTGCAGCTGAGGATGGTGGTTCGATAAAACCATCAAAACTAGTCCTGTGAAAATTTTTTAAATATAACGCTGATTTTTGTTGTTTGACTTCTGAATTAATATTTATTCGGCGTGTTATTGTGTCTTAGCTATCACTTCATTCATGACATTTTTCCTGGGGTTGAAACTTGGCTCAATCATTTCATCCCCACAACTAAAAGAGCCACTGTGGAGCTGAAATACACTGGATCACCACCACCACCAACAAAAAAAGTTTAAAGTTACACCCTCTGCCAGTAAAGTTATGGCAACCACATTTATGGATTCATGTGGTGTTATATTAATTGAGTATCTAGAGCATGGCTATATCATTACTACTGATCATTACTACGGATTGTGCCACTTTGGGAAGGTAATATGAAGGCATACAATGTAAACACACTGGCATGCTGAGTGATAGTGTCATCCTCTTACATAGCATTGTCAGTTCCCATGCTACATGCCAAACTCAAGGATTGCTGCAAAAGTTCAAGTGTGATGTTTAGAACCACTTTCCACACAACCCAGATTTGGATTGTGCCACTTTGGGAAGGTAATATGAAGGCATACAATGTAAACACACTGGCATGCTGAGTGATAGTGTCATCCTCTTACATAGCATTGTCAGTTCCCATGCTACATGCCAAACTCAAAAATTGCTGCAAAAGTTCAAGTGTGATGTTTAGAACCACTTTCCACACAACCCAGATTTGGCACCCAGTCATTATTTCCTTTTCCCAAAATTTAAGGAACACTTATCTGGGACAAGATTCTCTTTAGACAGTGATGTGAAAACAGCTGCTGAGACCTGGCTCAATGGGCAGGGATGTGATTTCTATTGAGTCGGGTTAAACAAGTTGGTCTTGCATTCAGATAAAAGCTTAAATAAGTAAATGTAGTAATTATGTGGAAAATGATTGGCAAATATGCCTTTTAATTCCATTTTGTATTTTCTGTCTATTATTAATAAATTATTTTTTATTACCCTTGTAGTCTTTTATTTGGATCATTCCTCATATATGTAGTAGTAAAATTTTTGAAGTTCTTTGCTGAATATTTTTATTTGAAATTTATATAATTGGTAGTTAAAATTGACAAACTGAATGCATACATAACATAGCATATAGATTTCTTGTTGCATTTGATGATTTTCTAGGTTCATAATTTTAAAAAGTATAAAAATTGTAAAACTGGAAAAAAAGAGAGAGAGAGAGAGAACTCTTTATTTTGTATTTGAAGTTAAATTTCTTGATAAGTTAGATTTGGATGATAATATAATATTAAGTAGTAAATGTGCTATTTTGCATGTGTTCATTCATAACGTTTTAATTATTCTTCAGGAAAGATGAAGTCAAGTTCTTCTGCTTTCAAGTAATTTCTCATTATATCAAAACTAAGTAAGTATTCTTGATATGTAGATTGTTATTTTTGATTGTAAACCTCAAACTTAGTATATTAGAAGTTTACACACCTTTAAGGCTCTTGAAATTTTTTAAATAAGTTGTTTTAATCCTATTGTAATATTAAAGTTATTGTTAATTGCCAAGTTTATTTATGATTCACCAGAGGAAAGTAAATACTGATAATCTGAGTAGGGTTCAGATCCTTGGACATGAGCTGGCTGCATGATTTTCTCCATATATAATGCAAATATGAGTCAATGTCTTGTAGAAGGTCCTCCACAAAGGGACTAGCAGCCTTTTCCTAGATGCTTTGCCACTGATTATTTTTGAAGATTGTTTTGTAACAGTAAACTGTTACTGTTGTTTTGGCTGTGAAAACTTCAGTAACGTTCCTTTTCAGATAAGATCATACATAAAATATCAATCAACTGATAACAATTTAACCAGTAATAAAATTATATGTTTCTTTATACTTCATGTAATTTAAATATTGAATAAGTATTAAAAATGTTTTCCAAATAATCTTAACAAATTTTTGCATATGGCTGCTTTAAAGTTACTGTGTCATTTGGGAAGTGGTGCCAGTATATCAAAACAGGATATGTGTATGTATTTCAACATGTATGGAATTTTAAAAATGTATAATTAGAAATTGTCATAAATTTTCCTTTTGCTAGGTCATTATTTTGGTGAATTTGTAATTTAGTATTATCTGTTACTTGCTATTCATTCCTAATTTTTCTTATATATTTTTCAGTGCATTTATAAAAAAAGACTCTTATGTTACAAAATTTCAGGATATTTAATGTATTATCTAATTGACCGTAAAAGTTGGCTACTGTGGAATCTTGAAAGTTTGCACTGACAAAGTTGTGCTAATCATTACTGCAAAATTCTGATATAACTGACAGCTTTTTATTTATGAACAATTCACCCTCTTTTCTGCATTTTTGAAGAAAGGCTTTTGTTGATTTCCTCTAGTTTGGTTGGGCTTCTGATTTTATTGGAAACTCTGTTTAAAAGGCTATGAATACAAACTTTCCGCTGGTAATTGTTCCAGTTTTTTACTTTTTTGTGGGTCATGTTTGGTTTACTATATCGTGTCTATAATTGCTTTTTATTGATGGTAGGCTCCCGTAATTTTGTGAATAATCCACTGCTTGTTGCTCTGCATTTTAAACTTTTTTTTTTTTCAAAATGGATGGGGAAAATTCATCCAGAATATATTGTTGTTTATAAAAAATAAAAGTGGCATATCGAGAATCAAGGTTACATCAAAGGAAAAGTGCAGATGTTATGAGTGTGTTGTTGCTTCATGTTTATCTATAATTTATGCTAATATGCACTGCTTGGCGGTAGTTTCATGTGTGATGGGATGATACATAAATACCAATTTCAATTTTTAAACTCTAGTTTATTTTTGAAATTGTTTATCATGTTGGTTTGTTGCATTCACCAGAATGAGAGATCTGTTGCTGAAATTTGCCTCAGCTTTTTCCATTTTTGAATTTGTTTTTCATTTATGGATAATTACTAAATAACCATTACACTGTGATAATTTTCAGCAAATGCAATCATGTGTAATTTGAAATTTTTTGTATAAGCATTTCTCTTCCCATTCATTTTTCGGACAAAAAGTGGCATAGAAAATAAGACTGTAGAGTTACAAGAATTAAAACGATCATCTTTGGCATCTTTCATTTTACTTTACAGCAATTTTATTAGGAAATATTTAATTTGTTTTACATCCTTGGCATCATTTTCACCCTCATGGTGACATCTTTGAACATCACAAGATTTATTTTTTTCTTTTGGCTTATGTGCAGGTTTTGAATTTTAGGTAAATTTTTGAAGGAAACTCTTATTCTCAATTTATACTTGAAATCAACGAAAGCAACAGCCATTTTTAAAATTGTGCTGTAGTGAGAATTTCATAAAAGAGCAGTGGATAAACAGAATTAAAGATGAAGAAACATCCATAATAAAACACTACCCTTTTTCAAGAAATGCCCCTTTTTTTATGTGTTGTCTTTAACTGCATACTATATACAAAGATCTGTTTTGGTTTAAAAACATCAGAGAATTGCTCAAATTTGGCATTGTGTATGATGCTGTTCACCTCATGTACTCAGAGATTTGTCTTGGCTTAAAATCATCAGAGAATTGCAAAAATTTGTCATTGACATATATTTTGGATCTATGAAATTTGATTCATTAAGAAGTTCAGCTTCATGAAATGTAAATTTTTGCATTCTCTATTGTTCGGTCATATTTCCGTAGAACAGCAACACTTTGATTTTCGTTAGTCAGTAAACTGCATAGTCCCATTATGATTCCTTCCTTACAAGACAGAAAAATGTACTCAAAGCAAACACTAATCAGAAAAATGATCATCAAATTATGCATACTTGGCATACTTGTGCATACCGTGGTTGCCATATAATTATTCACATTTTAAATAACATTTTAGTTTTCACATTTTAGTGGCATGATGAGTTGTCTGTTTTCATGACGTAGTGTGTAACCTCTTGAATACTTTACAGGGCAGTGCAGATGATCAGAGAGAATCATATTTCATAGCTTCAAACTCTCCTTCATCACATCACTCAGTCTTCCAATAGGTCACCAAATTTCCCGTTTTTTAAATTTTAGCCTTCACTAGGAAGAATATTTCCTAGTAATGAATTAAATTTGTTAAATTAATGAAACTTAAAATGTAGAAATTCAAGTGATTTTCAGAACAGTTTTTTTCATGAAATTTTATTTCATATGAATAGTATTTTTTTCTTCATTATTATATATCGTTGATCTTTGGCTTATTAAAATTCATTTCATTTGAGTTGTCTTAATTTACTGTAGGCATTTGTAGATTTTTTATATGAATATTCAAGTAAAGTTTAATCTGTTAATATTGTACTAGTTTTGTTTACTTGAATATATGGTCCATTACTGAGTTTATCCATACAAATACTAAGTACGTTAATTAGAATTTTATTTTCATTGTATTTAACAGTACTTTGATAAATAAAAGTGTTCCTTTGCTACTTGAAATTTTCTCAGTATAAAATTTTAAAAAATTTCTTAAAAATGAAATCATTCAAAAGACATTATATTTAGCATATCCAATAAAATGCTTAGATATTTTACATCAAAATTAAATTACAAAATAATTCAATCTGGGCCATGCATTATAAAATGAATGAAAGTTCCTTTGAAATGCTGTTGCTGAGCAGCTTTCAAGGTTGGCAGCTATATTATTTACTAGGTAAGAAATTGGAGAAATGTGATTAATTACCTTTAGTTATATTTTATTAATATTTTTAGTAGTTATGTGATTAATTACCTTTAGTGATGAACTGATCTTTTGTATTAATAAAGAAACACCTTAGTATGTTTATAGATACCAAAAGATGATGTTAATTCAATACACTCTAAAGCATCCACTGCCAATAATAATCTGAAACTTAATGAATATTAAAGGTCTAGAGGGGTTATATTTTGCAGAAGGAATTCTAAGACAGGAACAATATATCAGTCATTTAAAGCATGATTTAGCATCAAATATGAGATTGAATTCTCTTTTCATGCAATGCACCATGTCATAAAGGTGAAAAATGTTTGTTTTTTAATTAAAAATATATCGTTGCCCAAGAAATACTATCTGTGATTCTAATTTGCTTCCATGCTAAGTATTAAATTGTTGTCTGTATATTGATATAGTTCTACAGTTCAAAGTCCATAATCCGGACCTTAAAGCCACAAACGTGTTTTTTTTTATTTAATTTTTTTTTAATGTTTTATGCATGCGCGTTTAATGCATAATGAACGGTATAAGTTAGGCTAAAATTATCTTCACTGATGCTTTTCAGTTAATGTTGGAGATTGCGCTGTTCCTTAATCTTCTAATTGGATCTGGCTTATTATTTTTTGCAGACTGTTAGAGCAATTTTATAAAAATTAAGCTTGAACTTTTGCTTGTGTCAAAAAGAATTTCCAATTCTGGAGCTGCCCAAGGATCTACAAAGCGAAAGCATGTTTCGATGTCCATCAAATAAAAAGTGGAATTTGCTGCAAAAAATAGATAAATTATAGTACTTGAACAGTGGAACTTTGTAACTGAACAAGAAATTATGTCTGTTATAGAATTAAACAGAAAGTATTAGCACAAAAAACGAAGCAACTTAAACAACTTACATGGAAAAAAATGTTTAATAAAGTAAACAAATAGATATTAAGTTTTTTTTTTGGTAAGTTTTGATACTCTTTAGATCATAATTTCTCTTTCATAAATTACGGTTTCATATTTTTAATTGTATAATTTCTGCATGCTATCTTACCAAATTTAAATTGATGATCTATAATCCAAAAAAAAAAAAAAAAAAAAAAAAAAAAAAACCCTAATCTGGAATCACCGAAGTCCCAACGAGTCCGGATTACGGACTTTGTACTGTATTTGATAAGCAAAATATGATTTTGGAAATTTTTCCTTTTAAGTTTAGTAAATTGTGCATGTGTTTGTACACACAAAATAGTTATAGATTTCATTATATGTGTACCTACTATACATATGATTAAAATTTGTTTTTATCTCATGGGCATAGAAAATTTTAAATGTGGCTGAAAATGTATTGCTTTAAATTTGCTGTTGATGTAACACTGTGGCTATGAATAACTGCAAAAAAAAATCTAGGAGTAAAAATTGTCTAAAACTGCACTTTTGATACTAGAGCATTTTTATCCCTTTACTTTGATTTCAAGGTGTTTGTAGTTATTTTAGTCTTACTTTTTCTATAAAGTAGTAGAAAAGAAAATTTTTATGCCAAATCATTCTTAAGTTGGAATAATAGTACCTGCATTATATTATTATTATTATTATTATTATTATTATTATTATTTTGCTGTCGTGATGACTTTGTCGCATCCGAAATAATTCTGTAATTTGCAAGAAATATAAACTCGGGCTGCTTGAACTCATATTAGGCTTTCAGATTTTTCTAGTAGCCTCAGATTTGATTGGAAATGCAGAGATGGTAAGAAACAGAATGAAAAATATTAATACATCTGATGCAAGTATTTTCTTGCCGAACTGTCATCATACAGTAGGCAGTTTTTCACAATTATTGTACAAAATTACTTCTGCTTTGTGGTGAAACCATTGTTCATTAAAGGTTTAAAAAAATAAAAACACTTTCTCCAACATAAAAAATTTAATAACGTTTTAAAGTTTGATCTTTCAAAGCATTTTGCTTTGTGCAAGGGTATATTTCAAAATTTACACATATATCACATTATACTGTTTCTTTTCTTGATAATGCACATATGGCACTGTTGCAAATTAAATTTCCTTTTCTTTCTTCCCCCCCCCAGTTCACACAAAGGGTTCTAATTTATGTTGTCCCATGTCCATGCAAAGTTTCCCTTTTCAAATTATAGTTTTTAGTTTTTTTATTAAAGCTGTATGTTGATGATATTAGTTCCTTTAGGTTTGAACAACTTCTGGTGGAATTTCATCAGTCAGCCAATGGATTGCTATGACTTTCAGAAAAATCTTATAGCTTAATTTTCTTTTCCTTCACAGAATTATAAACAACAAATTAGTTGAATGTATGCAATTTATAAGGTTATATAGCAACTCCTTTATCCATTTGGTTGCTTATTTGAGAATGGAGTAACATGATAGACACTGATCAGCCCGATTAATGCCTTTCTTGTATATGTTATAGTCAGTCAGAGCATTAGGTTTTATTATTGTTATCCTGGTATTTCTATCAACATTGTGGCTGTCTTTCATTTTAGATGAATGTGTTGTAAATATGTGAGACATTGTTTTCTTTGATTGTCTCACTTGTACTAAAATATTTCTTTTTCTTTTGAAGCATATTTTTCACCATTTCAATGAAATGGTTTTTCAGGCAACCCAGAAGTCCTCTGTTTTTTTAACAGTGCTGCAAATTCAAAATTTATTTTGTAACAGTTTTTCATTGTTTACCCAACTATTATAATAGTTATCAGCATAGAAATGGTGATACAAGTCTATAAGGTGATACAACCATTTGAATTGTTTCTAACAGTTACTTTCCTTGGGCACAATGTATTTCAAAATAGCATATGTAGCCTGTAGTACTTTCATATAACCAAAATTTACCATGCAACCATGCAAATCAAAATTTTCATATTTTACTATTTCCCGTGATCTGTAAACTCTGAAAAATAATCTCCCCCTCCAAGATATTATGCTTTCATATAAAGACAGCTGCTGGATAGGTTATATAAACATTTATAAACTTGGCAATAAAATAATTCAGTAGTGGTCTGATTTTGAAAACCCTGTCTGATCCATTATTTCAAGCCTTCATTATTATTGAAATGCCAATCCTTCCATGATTGAAAAAAAATCTGTCTCTTGTTATTATTATTATTTTTTTTTTTAAACTGGCATTTCTATATATGGATCCGTGTTCCAATAATCTTTTCAGTCATTACGCACTTGTTTTATAAGAAGAATAAGCCCCAAAAATTTCTTCATGTCTTATGTTTTAATATCTTTCTATTTGAGGGCTTTCTTGGGAGTTGGGAATTTATCAGCATTTTGGTAATATCTGTTTGACTTGTTGACAAGGAATGTAAAAAAAATCATCAATAAGCTACAGCATCCGCTACACTATCTGAAATGTTTTCTATATTTATTCCTGAGCATCCTAAAAAAGTCTTTCCAAGACTGGTAGATTATTTACTAACGACCATTCTTTTTCAGAATCTGAGTAATCTGAATTCATAATCATTTATTGAATCAGAACTGCTTGAAATTCTTGGTTGGGAAAAGGTATATTATAATTTTATCATCATCGATAAGCTCGTTATTGCAGGAGTAATTCAACAAACTAACTGCTCACAATTCTTCATAAAATAAATGAGTTTAGTCATTTCCTGCTTAAGATGTGTTAATGTGTTTTAAGATTTTGGCGCTTTGTATTTATGATTGTTTGTAGTTAAGTCATTTATTTTCTTATTGGAAAAAATCTTTTATATGTGTTACAGGGTAATGTTAAAGTGTTTTCTTCTTGTTTTGTGATTGTACTTCAGAGCCATTAATATTATATTTTACATATTGAGCTAAATAGAAGTTTATTTTTCTTTAGATATCACTACGCTAATTCAGAACAGCAGCAAATTATTAGAGAATTTGTAAGCCGCTGGATACAATCACAAGTAATTTCTCCTTTTATATTCATTGTCTCATGCTATAAAAGTTTTTTTTCCCCCTGTAAACATATATTTGTCATATTAGCAGAATAATTTTCATTGATAAAAATATTATTTTTGTCCTATTTTTCATTGGTAAAGTACATTAAAAGTTATGAAATTATCTCATATATATATATCAAAATCTCAAAAATTGGAACGAAAAAGACATATATATATTACTTTTGTCTGGTAATATTTTATTTATCACTTTTGAATGAAAATTTCATTTTTTCCCCTTTATCTCTGCAATAAAACTTGCTAAATGTGGTATCCTTTGATGGATATTTTTCTGTAGTTAGTTATAGATTATATTGCATAAAATCATATTATTGCACATTATTCAACACTTCTCAATTAAGACTGTGCTATCTTTAAAGTTCTTTAAAAAGACTGTATTTGTCTATTAGAGAAATCACTGCAGGTTTGACTGCATTAATTTCAAATTTGCTCATTGTTTACTGTATGTAAGAAAGTGCATATATAGAAAAATTTTAAGTGAATCAGTGGTTCATTTGATTCATATGGTGAACTGCCACTGCTGAGCATTAAAATAGCTGATGAGAAAAAAAGACTAAAGAAAAATTTAAATAATTTAAACTTTGTTAATTCATGATAATGTAATAATTAATGTAATGACAGCAGCTTCAAATTATGTTGACCATTGTATTTGACATTTTGTACATAACATTTCATTATAAATTTTATAAAGATAACAAGAAATCATAAAATTAATGTGATCTTTGAATTTGAGAAACTAATGCAATTGTGTCTGTTTCATTTGATATGGTTGCAATTCTTGGGGAGTTCTCAAGATGTTCATTCAGTATTCTGATTCTAATTTTCCTCTTAGTGCTTTGTGTTCACTTCTTGGCCCACTTGCAGCCCCCAGGGCACAGACTGGATACCTCTGATATATAACATTAAAAAGGAGAAAATAGGAAAATCAATTATTTAAACAAAATTGCTTGATAGAAAAAAAAAAAAAAAAAAATTCTATCTGCAGCAATATCAAGATTGAGAGTTCTTTCAGTTATGAAAGGGCGCAGGCAGCAATTATACACTACCTGACATTGAAAATGCAACACCAAGGAGTGGCCAGAAGGTGATGAAACTTGGCAAAGAGAGACAGCAACGAACAATAAGTGATCTTTATTTCAAAATGATATGCATAATACAGAGCAAGAACACCCTTGGTTCAGCAGGTTGTAGGACTAGCTTAGACAGCAATACATGAAGCAGCACATCTAGGTACAGAGTCAATGAGACTAAGGTTGGTGTTTTGAGGAATTGCTCTCCCTTCCCTGTCAACCATTTGCCTCAGGTCATCTTCTGAACTCGGCAATGGCAGGGTCTAAAAATGACGTCCAATCACATCTCAAATATGTTCGATTGGTTAGAGATCAGGAGATGGGCAGGGAAGCATCTGTATACCTTGCAGAGCATGGTGGCTTATGTGAACAGTGTGTAGTTGGGCATAATCCTGCTGGTGTATTTGGGGTATTGAGAATACAGTAAAGCACACTAGGGCTATCTGCCTAAAGGGAGGGATGCCTTCGTGGAAGACTTTCTAAGGGAAACTGGCTCGTATACATGTTACACATGGGGAATACCACGAAAACGTCCATGCAGCCAGCCCGTTCGCGGGATTCGAACCTCGGACCGAACTAACAGTGTTCAGCGATTTTACTGCTCGGCCGCTGGTGGGCCATAATCCTGCTGATAAAGAGCTTTGGGCGCTCTCTGAAGGTAGTGTCACTGGCCACAGCACATCATCCATGTATCATAGTGCCCTGAATATGAACTAAAGGTAACTTAAAATCGTACGCAGTTGCGTTTCAAACCATGATGCTGGGTTGTTGCACAGTACAGCGTTCCGCATTTGTTGCCAGATTAGACCTGCCTCCATATTGACACCACATTTGTACACGGCGACTGTCTTTAGAGAAACAAAATCTTGACACATCTGAGAACACAACCCTGTGCCATTCTGTTGTCCACGTCGCTTAAGCTCGGCACCATTGCAGATGTTGGCATTTGATGTAGGGTCAGGGGCAATCTTCTTAATAGATGCCACACGTGCAGGCCACTAACCACCAGTCAACAACAGATGGTTGTGGTCGATATGGGGACATCCAGAGGGTCTTGAACATGGTGCAGAATGGAGGTAGAAGTGGCTTCCGGGTGCACCACCGCTTGTCAACAGTTGTGTCGATCCACACATGCTGATGTCACTCTGGCTATATCGGCACCCCTCGAACTTGCTGCATTTCCTTGTTTCAAACATCATTACCATGGCTGGAACACTATGTACTTGTCAGATGAGTAATTTAACGGTCTTGCATTGATTACTACTTTCGTATCACAGAGAATGAAAAGTAACTTCTTATATCCCAAGCAGGCTCTTTCTAATGTTTTCGGAATTTTCTTAAATTGAGTAATGCACTATCCACCCCACCATGCAGCTGTGGAGTGATTGAATTTCCATGTAGTCTTCAAAATAGAACCTTCTTGAATAACTTTTTCCAGTCGAGGGAATGAAACAGGTGAGGTCTGATAAAATTTATATCATTATCATGATACATAGTATTTGGTTATCCATGTCTGGCTGTGGGCCCTCTAAACCTTAATAAAAAAATCATTGGGGAGAAAAGCTTTTCTTTTCATTATTTAGGTGAAAAGATCCAGCTAAGTTCACTCTATTTAGCTGAAAAACCAAAGCATCTCAAACCCTATTTTCAGGCAGTGAAGGCTCGAATTGGTTTCATTTCTTTTGCATCAATGCATTTTGCAATGACTGTTTGAACTTTTTTTTTTTTTTTTTTATCCAAAACTGTTGACAAATGTTTGCCAACTTGAACTTCATGCTCAGCAACATGAACTCTGTGAAAGCATTGTATGGCATTTGAATATTAACTTTCTATAATTTGATGATCAGAAGTATAGGATACATGAAATTATCTGTATCTTCTCTTCGAAGGATTTACACGTTCAATCTCATTAAGTCTTCCTTATTAGTAAAAGTGCAAATCAACTTTGATTTTGTAAATTCTTCTGTGAAAGTTTCTGTCTGAACAACTTGCAGAAGCCTTTTTCATCTGCTTTCATTTGCTGAACAAGTAATTCATCTTTTAATTAGTCATCTAGATTTATAGAATTTTGAAAGAATCACAGTAGCCAAGCTGTCAGTCTAATTAATTTAAAATATTTAGAAAAATGATGTAAGTGCCATTTTTCTTTTTCAGGAGCAATTAAGGTAACTATGACTATTATTTTCCTTTTTCTTTCTTTAGAAACTTCTACATTTAATTAAATTTCTGAAATGGTCCAATTTTCTTCAGGTTGTTTAAGTCATAGTGGGTCCTCCCACCATCTAGATCTGAGCAGAACTTCCGCAGAGCAACTTCTGGAAGCAAAGTTAGCTGGATTGTAGCTTCCAGGGATATGCATCCATTGCTCCTTTGATGTTAAACTTCTTATTTCCTTCACTTGGTTATTAACAAATGTGGAATTATCCTGATTCCTGATCCAGAATAAAACAATCAAAGCGTCAGTCCAGCATGTAATTGGAATTCCTGTTAAGTCTTTAGCTTCTTTCACTGTTGCAGTAAGGCGATCTCAAATCAAGCATGCTATCAATTCTAGTTAAGGTATCCTTATTTTTGTTAAAGGAGCAACTGTACTTTTAGCCTCCATCTAATGAACTTTTACCTCTTTTTCACGTTCGCTTCACAGAAATATGATTGCACAATAGGCAGACTTGCTCCCATCACAAAAGGTATTAAAACTCAAAAAAAAAATTACTTTTATTGCCTTGACCTCTTGGAATTTTGATCTCTGTCAACAAGTGTGAATCTTCAAGCCACATATTGAACTCTAGTTGAATATCTCCTGGACATACATTGATTATCATAAATTAAGGAAAAATAACAAATATCACGATTACTGAAAAAGTTACATGTAGAATTTAATGAAAGTTACCCACAATATACAACACATAGTAAGGTATCAAATAACATAAAAAGAAATTACCAGACAAATATAGTAGTATAGAAATTAGCACATGTATAAAATGAACAAATCAAAGGTGTCAGTTTGCTATAGGAAAAGTACCTTCGGTATGGAATATGATTGCCTCTAAAAGCAATACAGCACATACAGCGATGTGTGATGCTTTCAGTTATGCGGTCTATGCAGCTAGACGTCTCTCCCTAAAGCAGTGTTTCTTAACCTTTCTAGCGAGTCACACCCCATTGAATCTGAAAATATATCTCCCGCACCCCATTGAAAAATGTGTTTTAATTTTTTTAGTCTAGAAAAATACATTTTTTTGCAAAACTTATTGTTTATTGAAAAACATTGTACATTTTATATAAATACAAAACAATATTATTTTTATTAATGACTAGTCTGTTGTTTGTTCATTATTATACTGGCGAAGCGAGGTTCCTTTTTTGAAAGACATACGCGTAAGTCATCACTTGCATTTAAGAGATTCTCGTTGTAGATTTTATAAAAAAGCGATGAAAATCCCATTTCGCACAAGTAGGTGGTAGCAACTTTTTTTTTTTTTTTTTTTTTTTTTTGTTTTTTTTTTTTTTTTTTTTTTTTTTTTTTTTTTTTTTTGTTTTTTTTTTTTTTTTTTGTTTTTTTTTTTTTTGAGGGTAAGAGTAACTGCAGTGCTCCGTTCGCCAACTCTGGATAACGTTGTAACTGTGAACACCAGAATAGTTTCAATTCTAATTGTTCGAATTCCATTTCAACATGTCCAGTTGCTCGCATTTCAATAAGTTGATCTTTTTTCAGATCACTATCATCCATCAAATTTAAGTCAAATAGAAATGGATCTGAGTTTTGGTAATATTTCCGGTAGAAAAGTATCCATTGAATTATTCGCTCAATCGTCTCAAATGTATTACAATGTCGGGTATAATTGTATTCTTTTCATTTTTCGCAATAACAGAATC